TAGAGGGAGGGGTGGGTGGGTGGTGGGTAGACAGACACGCAGACAGGTGCCAGAGAGGTGGATGGGAGGGAAGGTGGAGAAAACACTACTCTTTTGGGTGGTGGCTTTTGGTTTTAGGTTTCTTCCTGGCAAGTGGCTCAAGAACCAGAAGAGGGAAGCCAGGGCCACAGGCAGCCCCACCCACCAATCCCACCCCGCAGCCTGGGGTCTGCTCCCGCTGCCAACAGGCCCCCTCTGGAATTCACTCCATCTTCCCTCAGATCCAGGGGCAGTCCCCTCCCACCTTCTTCTGTTGCTCATAGCAATGGCCCCACCCTCCATATGGCACCCAGCCAGCTGTGCAGCTCTCGGCCTCCCTTTCCTCCCTGGCTCTGGCCATTGGACACTCAGGCCTCCTGCCTCCACACCATTCCAGAGCTGAGTGTCCCAGGCTTTACCTCAAAAAAATACTCAGCAAAGAAGCTCCCAAGGGCCCCTCGTCGAGCAGAACAGAGCTTCCTGTAACAATGAAGATGACCACACCTGTGTTGTCCAATGGCACCCCGCGGGCCAAGCCACACCTGAAATGTGGCTAAAGTGACTGAGAAATTGAATTTTTTATTTGATTTTATTTTAATTAATTTGAAAATTAACTAGCCACATGTGGTTAATGGAGACCGTATTGGACAGCACAGTTCTAGAGCCTATTCCTGCAGCAGGCTGTCCCCCTGTACCCAGCCTGAACCCTCCCTGCTGACAGCAGAGTGGCTGCTGGTCCCCGAACAGACCCTGCCTAGCAACAGCTGCTCTCTGACTCTTCCCTGTCGTTTTGCAGAAAAACCACCTCCATCCAAGTCCCGGCGTACTCTTGGCTTTTATTCCAGCATCTCCCAGAGCTCCAATATGTACAGACTTGATTTATACACATATAATATACACAATATATACGTATTTATATATATTCACACGCCAGCCCACACGCTCAGGCACTCACACGCACACGCCCTTCCAGGAGGGGCGCACGGCCACCTCAGAGCCCTGCTCAGGCCCAGACAAGTGGTATTGGGCTTGCCAGGCAGTTGTGAGGTTTTGTGTTTTTTTGCTTTTAAAAAGAAGACTGTTTCCTCCAGATGTGTCTTCCCTCTCCCCAAACCCTGAAACCTCTCCCCA